AATGAGATATTTTCTCATCTCATTCATGACTCAAAGCAATAAAACTATCATGTAACTCACTCTTCATTAAAATCTTACTATAAGACTCAAACGTGAAACAAAATTTTATTATTTTAGTATTTAGAATATTATAGAAGAATCTTAGGTTAATTCGTAGACAAGGAAGCATATATTCCCCTGTAAAATATAGGGTATATGGCCTTCATTTCCCTTTTTATAGCTTTCCATATGAGAGAGCTTTATATTGTTCTTACTCAATCTCTCTACTTTCTTTCTTCCATGGGCCCCTAGTGCCAATTTAGAGGTTTGACCCTATTTATTTTGGATTTGATTTTTGTGGAGAATAAAAATTCTTTATAGTGATGTATGCATGGGACAGTAGACAATGTATTCTATTCTAGTAAAGTCATATTTGTTTGAGCCCCAACAAAGCTTTAATTTAGAAGAAGAAAGAGATCTAGGGTTTGTTTGGATTGAGGGAAATGAGGGAGAGGGGAAGTAGAGTAATGTCTAACCTTGTTTGGGAATTGAACTTAACAAGTTAGAGGGGGTGAAGGCAAGGGAATGGAGGGGAGAAAAGTGAAAACCCCTTTCTTTTCTTCCGGGTGTAACCGGGGTGAGGGTAAAGAGGGGGAACCAAACAATTATAGAAGGACAAATTTACCCCCTATTTAATTTCTAACAACAACATAACTTAATAACATATAAGGGTATTTATGTCAATTTATATACATTCCCTTCCCTTCACTCCACTTTATTACACTTCCCAAACGGGGTGAAATAAGTTTCCCTTGATTCACCTTACTAATTTCCGAAACAATTTTTACAAGTTACCTTACCTTCCCTTAACTTCTCTAGGTTCCCCTAACTTCCATTCACCCTCTACAAATCCATACAAGCCCCTATCAATTGCTCCATTCCAAGGGACTTTAATGGAATGATGTTTCCATGCAAATGTATATTTCTGTTGTGGTCTCTTTTATAGCTACTTTCTTGATATAAAGATTAATTAACTGTAGTGTATATATCACATGAAGCGAAAAATATACATGTTAACAAAGTAAAAAAATTAGCATAGCTGTATTTACATGAATTAATTTTGTCTGAGTTGCAATTAAGTGTACTCTAGATATTAAGTTCACACGACTAACTTTCCGCAGTGAGAAAATTGTTTGTGAGGTGGTTGGTGAGCTCACAGAGGAGTGACAAAATGATTGATATAAGGCCAATAATCAAGATATGTGTGTTTTTGTCATCATAATAGAATCAACATGGAGCATGTTGCCCAAGGGCCTAAAGCATGGGTTTTTTGTCTCCTAATCATGCAATCCAAATCCATAATACATATAGATGATCCTACATATCCTTGTTAAATATGTCTAGTGGTACTAATTACACCTAGTTTGACACTTGTCTCTGGCTGTTATCAGTCAAATCAGAGTATTTCGAACATATGTGATATCATCCTAGTTGATCATGTAATTTAACTTTGTGGCTGTCATAATTAACTGACTTGTTGACTTCATCACTGGAAATGTATATATATATCTCACAAGGAATATCTCACAAGAAGCAAGAAATATAATATTAATCAAACATAATGGTATGTTGTCAATTAGTATATGTTACAACACACATGTATGTATGTATATTTATACGTACAAAGCTCCTATAAACTTAAGTTGATAGGAGCTCTTTGTCCACCAACTTTTATATCCGTCAATTTTTTGTATTGAGATCTATGCTAATATGTGATATAAATCAAGACACAAATCTCAAAAGATAATGAAGGGATAAAAAAATTGATGGACAAATGTACATATCCACTTAAGTTTATAGAAGCTTAACAATATGTATATATATATATATTCAAAGCATATACATAAAATAAATTTTACGTCCTGAGGAGAGTCCACAAAATAAATACAAGGCCACCGTCTTTATTTTTAAAAAAGCTTCTAGTGACTCAGAAGAAATAATGTGCCTTTCATATCCCCTACCCCCCCCCCCCCCCGCGCTCTCTCTCATCTTTTAGCAAAGGATGGTTTTCCAAGTTGGTGTCTTTTTAGTGCAGGGTTAAGAATCCCATGGCTTTCAAAGAGAAGAGGAGAAGAGAGAGAGCTTAAAAACAATTTCTATAGAAAAGAAAACGCACCCAATTCCTCCTCATATACTAGTTCTTTTGTTCTTGAATCTCTTCTAATTCTAGAGAGAGAGAGAGAGAGAGAGAATCATGTTCTCTTCCAAGAAGCCGACTACTATGAATTCTCATGAAAGGCCTATGTGCGTGCAAGGAGACTCCGGTCTTGTTCTCACCACTGATCCTAAGCCTCGCCTTCGCTGGACTGTCGAGCTCCATGAACGGTTTGTCGATGCAGTTACTCAGCTCGGAGGGCCTGACAGTACAAACCCTAGTTCCTCTCTATCTCATATATATTTTTATTTATTTATTTACCTTCTTCTTCTTCTTCTTCTTCTTCTTCTTCTTCTTCTTCTTCTTCTTCTTCTTCTTCTCCTCCTCTCCTCCTCCTCGTCCTAATTTAATTAGCATTTCGAGCCTTTCTTCTTTCTTTCCTATTTAATTCCTCTTTATTCGGCCTCTTCCTCTTCTCTTTCTCCTTCTCCTTACTTACAATTTAATTTGCAGTTCAAGTCTTTCAATAATATTGATAAAAAAATATTTCTCTCGAAAAAATTTGATGATGGTGATGATATATGAATTTACTGTCAACAAATTAAGTTCTTTAATTTATAATAACTATCTACTTTTTGATTGAAGGTTATTAATTTGGACACCTAACTAACGCAGCTATATATTTTTGTGATTTCTAGAGGCAACACCAAAAACAATCATGAGGGTTATGGGAGTAAAAGGTCTTACCCTCTATCACCTAAAGAGTCATCTTCAGGTATATATACATATATTATGCACGAAGGTGAAGATTAAAATTATATATGCTGTTTGTTTTTCTGCATCGATCGCACAGTATATATATATATATATCTAATTTTTATTAATTGCTGCTTATTTTGTGTAGAAATTCAGGCTTGGGAAGCAACCACACAAGGAATTCAATGACCATGCAGTTAAGGATGGTAAGGCAGCCTAAATACAAGATCGATTTAAATTTTTTTTTTTTTTTTTTGCACCCCCTCCTTTCTTCTCCCGTTAATAATTAATTCTGCATGCATTTTTGTCATATATATACTTTTTATATTTTATTTTGTTGTCTTAAATTTTCATTTCAGCTTCTGCACTCGAGCTTCAAAGAAATGCTGCATCTTCCTCAGGATTCATGGGACGTGCAATTAATGAGTAAGTCATGAATAAATATCAAGTGTGTTTCGCAGTAAAATATATTTAACCCAAAACATAGTGTTTTTTTTTGGATAAAATTAAAAGAATTGATTGATCGTTTATACGATCGAATCCAGTACACATGGTATTTATAATTCGGCACTTTGCAATTTACAGTAGGAACGTCCACCTCTCAGAAGCCCTAAGGATGCAAATGGAAGTCCAAAGGAGATTACATGAACAACTAGAGGTAACAAACTTACACGTACCATTTCTAATAATTTGCTCTTTCGCCTACTTTTCTGATCAGCTTTGTTCTGAATTTGGAAATCTTAGGTGCAAAAACACCTTCAAATACGAATTGAGGCGCAAGGCAAGTACATGCAATCCATACTTGAGAAAGCTTGTCAGACGCTATCTAGCGAGAACATTGCGTCTATAGGCTACAAATGCATCGAAAACCAAGGAGTAGTCGATATGGGAGTCAATAAAGATGTTGAATCTTCGATGAGCTTCCCTTTGGTCCAAGATCTTCACATATATAGTGAAAATCAAATTGATGACTTCTTTCCGACAAACGAAACCCTTTGTTTAGGCAAGAAGAGGTCTAATCCCTATGGTTCTAATGGGAAGAGCCCTATGGATTGGGCTGACGATCTTCATATTCAAGAACTGGAGCCCTCTAAGAGTCAAATTGACATGGAGGGTGAGAAGAAGTTTGAAGGATCTCTGAAGCTTGAAAGATCATCTCCAATGAGACCCCCTCTTCAAATGGAGAGCATGAACCCTATGATGAGTAATGGTTCTTTAAACCAAACAAGAAATTTGTCATATGGGTGAGCATTTATTTTTATTTTTGCTTTATTTAGGAAACTAGACTTACTTTGAATGGTTAAATAAGATATGAGTGGGGGTGTTCGATCCAAGTTTCTTGTTAAGAGAATTTAAATTATTATTGTTATGAATGTCATTGTTATGACAGATATATATTTTTAACTCATTTATTTCTACTCATGCATGTTTAAAAGAGTTGATTCTCTTTTGGAAAGATATTAACCCTAGGGTTTTCAAACTGTTTTTGGAATATATATATGCATAGCTTAGTTGTGAGTGTTAACAAAGTTACTGGTTGACTGAATAATTGCATGCGTTAAGGTTTTTTTGTTACAGGACGGTGTTCCAATTATGTCCTACTTTTTCACATGTTCTAAAATTTTGAACTCATCCTCTTTAAGCTTTTAATGACTATATATTCCAGCCACCGATAAATAAAATTTACATGTTTGCCCCGGGACCTGCGAGAATTACATGTTAAAAAAACTAAAATCATTGTGTTATCAGGTATATGAGACTGATGTTCTAGTGTAATAAGTGATGTACGTATTACTCCAGCTTTCTTTTTTCTCCCCCTCAAATAAATTATTCTTGCCCTTGTCATTTTCTGATGGGGTAATGGTAGAAGGCTGGGACTTTTGATCTCAAGATCCCATCCTTTTCCTCTATTATATACACACACACGCACACAAAGCTTAACATGATTTGGGGGTTATACCAAAATTTTATTTTATTTATTGTTTTTCACAATTATTTCTTTCTTCTTCCTTAATTCAGTTCGGATTTTTATTTTTGGATTTCAATTTTTAAAATTAGGTTAAGAGTATCCGCATGTTGGATATTATTAATATTAGCCTAGCTCAACTCTCTCTATATATATATTCTCATTCTTCCACAGTTTCAGCACGGAATGGATGAAACTAAATGATAGCCACATAATCTTTCTTCATGGCAATTATATATAATTTCCTATAATTCCAAATGACTTCTCTCGTACATGTAGGAGCTAATCATTTGGAGATCGATCTATGCCATGAAAAGAACAAATATGCCTTCCTTATTCACAATGCCCCTGATATTTGTTTACATGCATGCAGTGTATATACTCTTGGTAGGGAATTTCTTCCAACCTATTAAGTATTAGTTAATTAGTAGTACTTTACAGGCTTGCTTTCAGGTTAGTTATTGCCCATGTTAGTTACTCTCATCATTACAAAGCCCATATAGTACACAATACCACCATGCAAATAGAGACTTATATATATGTATATAGTTATGTATTTTAAATTAAACACAACAAAGTTTTATATATGTAAAAGAAAAGAAAAGAGTGGGAGTGAGTAGTAGCCCTCATGCATTGATGACCCTTCTTCCTTTTGAACAAGGCAAATGAGAGAGAGGAAAGAGAGGGAGACAAAGAATATCACTCGTTCCTTTATATCTCCTCTTCTTCCTTTTCCTACCTTTTCTCTATGTAGAATACTAGACATACATGTCTCTCAAAGTAATTTGTGCGTATTAATATAGCGATTAAGAGGATCTTGATCTTTTCTTTTTGCCCGTGGGGAAAAAAAAATAAAGAGAAGAGAGGGTGCAGGTTGCTTTATTGGTTAGAGAGAAATGTAGAGAGAGACTTTTTTAGGTAGTGTGAGCTTCGAGAGAAGTGCATGGGCATCAAGGCAATTGAAAAGGGTGTCAGAGGACATAACCATTTTGAGAGAGAGAGGGAGAGAGATCATCTTTGAAGAGAGCAAAGCACCTTGGATTCTGTTTGGTCTCTTGGACAGATCATCTGCAGACAACCAGCTTTGGGTTTTGGGAAAAAGAAGAATTGTGTGCAGAGAGAAAAAGGGAGGGGGAGAGAGAGAGAGAGAGAGAGTGCAGTTAGAGGGAAGCTTCTCTTCTTTTGGGTGGAATGATGGTGGGGGTAGTGGTAGCTGTATCTCTCTCTCACTTAAAATTTCTGAGTAATGTTTAAGATTCGTAGATGAACAAAATTTTGCATCGTAAAAAGTACATTGCTTACGTTATTTCAACTCATGCTGAAACACCAGCTTCAAAAGGGTTCAATTGCGAACAGACCCCATGTAGCATCACTCAATTGCAACCAGACCTCTTGTAGTTCTAGTTGCTGTGAATAGTCTCTATATATGTAGTTCTATTTGTTACGAATAGATCTCGTGAGTGAACTTGTTTTTACTCTTAGAGTTTTTAAAAATATTTCAAGAGGCAGATAGAACCCTTAGAGTTCTATAATTGCTGATGATAGACATCACAACCAATTGCTAATTTTTTAACTTTTAAAAGAGTTAAAATTTAGCTATGGGGGTATATTCACACTTGGGTCGATATTACAAGGGTCTATTCACAACATGTAGCTAGAACTACGGCCGGTTATTTGCAACAAATAGAACTATAGGGGTTTTTTTTGCAATTGGATGATACTACAGGGGTTTGTTTGCAGTTAACTCTCTTGAAAAAAAAAAATATGAACAGTGCTGACAGAGTGGAACCAGGAGTGTCGGTAAATACTGAAATATTGTCAGACCACAAGATCAATGCTAACTACTAAAATCAGGCTAAGGAGAAAATCTAGGAGCTAGCATCCTTTTCAATGAATAAAGGAAAAGAAAAGGTAAAGTTGAACTATACCACTAAGTTTTCAATATGAAAAAACCAATATGCTCTCAAAGGAATATATACTCTGATCAATCAACGGTACATCTCCATCATGGTAGGAGAACTCTCCAACGTCGTAAAGCTACACGACTCTCTATACATCTAAGATTCCATATGACCCTCTGCAGTTAGAAGTAAAAGATCCATAATATATAGAACTCTAGATAGAACGCAAAAGCTTACATGATGACAAAATATTGAGTACAAGGATACACATATCCTTCTACTACTCATTTGAGGAATATCTAACAAGCAACACAAAGTACATAGAACGGCAATAGGTAATAAATAACTCTTCCAGTTTCAATTTATTCATCAGAAAAATCAGAATATCACGTACAACATCTCATGATCTTTCACATTCCCATGATTTTAACGCTTTGGACAGCAAGGTCATCATCGAAACTCTTTCAATAATAATTTCTCGTCGGAAAAAGTAAGCCCTATGAGATTGTACAGAAAAACATTTCAGGATTTTACATAGATGAAACAAACATTTGCTGTAGTAGCCTATTGTCCAAAGCAGCCCACCAAAGATGTACACAAGTGGTATTATTACGTAGCCTCAGGTGATATCAAAAGGCTGCAGTTATCTCAGGTTGCATCTTTCACCATTGCATGTCGTCAATGAACCTTAAGACGCATTGGCTCCTTGTCTCAAAACCAAGCTCATGGCATGAGAGGCACCAATGGCAACCGAGACGACATGATGGGAGCCTAATTCCTCATCATCATCCATAAGAAACTTCACTTCAATTGGTGTTGATTGTATCTCAGGCAGCCCAGGAGCGCCTAACTGACAATCCTTGGCATATCCCCACATGTATAGCTTCCCTTTATCTGATATAAGTTCAAATGGAAATGGCGTTAGGAAATAAGGACGTTACTCGATAGCTCTTGATTGAGAATAATATTGCTAGCAAAATGAGAAAAGTAAACAAAAGTTTACTTGAGAACAAAAAAGTATTCTTGAATTTGAGCTATGCATTTGACATGATCAGGTAGCATAAAACTTAGTTGGATCTCTATATGAATATGAAGTGTTTTGAAATTCAGAGGAAAAAGATGTACTCCTAAAAGGTAAAGAAAACTTTGATTCAACATTCAAATTTGTCAAAGAGCTGGATCTTTGCTAGTTAACGAATCCTAAGTTTTTAAAATCTAGACTTTGTTCAGGTTTTGGTTATACAGATAGCTACCAAATGCAGATTCTCTTTTCCAAATTTTCTGCAATTCTCTCCAAGGTAATTCCAGTTTGACATAGAGTGAAGAACTTACATTGATTGTTTTTTTTATTCTGGTATTTTATTTTTATTATTTTTTGTACGTTTTTTTTTGTTTTGTTTTTTTGGGGGGGATTGGGGGGGGACAGGCCACCATTCCCTCAGAAATAAGACCCCAGATATTGGCTTTCTATCTCTATATATAGTGACTTCAAACAAAAAAACACATCATGGAAAACTGTTAAGAAAACTCAAATTTGATCAGAACGAGTGGTATTAGCCTAAGCAAACAAAGTAGGTAAAAAAGGCCTTTTATCACACTCCCTTTAAAAGTGAGAGTTCTGGAAAAAAAAACTTTTCTTGATGAGTTTTACACCTAATCCTTTGCAACATTAACATTTGTATCCTGATTATAATTGGTTATCAACTAAATCCATTAAGTCAAAATTCTATTAAGTCAAAATTAAACTTACGATCTAAAGCTCTCTCCATTCAAAACTAATTATAAAAAGTTAAGCTAATTAGAAGTGGTTGACAACTAAAGAATAAAAGAAGCTTAGAGGACATTAGCATGGTAAACATAATTACACATGTAAATGTTAACCAATTGATTGATACCAAATTATGGAATTAATGAATTTATTAGCAACAATTGATTGATTAAAATATTTTTTGCATTAGTCCCTTAAATCTCTCATATTTTGAAATTGCCGTTAAAGCGTTTATTAGGTAACTCAATTCCTAAGTTATTTTGAAAGTAAACCTTCAAATCAATGGTATAATTAATAAAGGGGACTAGTTTCCCTCTAATTATTTTTTTAAACTTTTGATTTGAGGAGTTAAAGTAACTTGAGAATTGGGCATGTAATAGCTATTTCAATTCTTTGATGAATTAATCTCAAAATAATAAGAATTGACCAACCTAATAGTTGAATATAGTTATCTTTGCAAGCTTATGGAGAGAGTTTTCTTACATGGGGATATGTTTTCTCATTTTATAGTCATAGGGATTAACATAGAAGATTCTTTTTTGTTTTTAACTCCTAAGAATCTTACGTCATCTATTACTATTAGATTTGAGGCATTCAAGAAATTGGTTGCTATACGAGTGACTAACCTTTACGAAAGATTTGTTGCTTACACTGCTTATGGTCACAACAACAAAAAAGTTGAAGGTACATAAACATAAGTATTAAGAAGGTTCATAGACAATATTACATCATAAAGTAGAGATTTGAAAGAAACAATTTCACAACCAAGTTATATTAAAGAAATAAATCAAACAATCATGATGTTTAACCACGTGCAATGCACGTGCACCTCACCTAGTGATAATAAACATACAAAGATTCAAGATTATCTATGAAGGCAACTTTTACCTGTAATAGCAGCAGAAGATGAACCTCCACATGTGATGTAGACAACGCGTTCACCAGCTAAAGCCTCAACAACGAAGGGAACTTTCTGATTCTGGATGGAGCCATGACCCAACTGACCATGTCCCCCATGGCCCCATGAAAGAACTTCACCTTTATCTGAAAAAAATCCAATATTAATAAAGATTACTACTAGATATAAGAAAGCAAATTCTAGTTGCTCTGATTTTCTGCAGATTGCCAATTGAAGCCGTGCAAATCAAGTTACCTGTTAATGCCAACGAATGGTATCCCCCACTTGCTATTTGAACTATACGAACATCTTTGAGGCTAGGAATTGGTTGTGGTCTCCAATCACTGACCCTATTGCCCCTTCCGAGTTCAAAATTTGAATTCGCTGCAGAAGCAAAGAAAATGGCCTTCACTAAAGAATAGACTGTTTCTAGAAAAGCAGAAAGAAAAAAAACTAGAAAAGTAGAAAAAACTATATATATATATATATATATATATATAAGAGAAATGTGTATGCTTGGTACCAAGCACAAGTTTTTGTGCTTGGTAGTGAGGTGACATATTCCCCTCCACTCATTAAAATCGGGGTCCACATTCATATGGGTTGGGGAGTGGTTAGGAATTGGAATGAATGGATGAAAATAGGACACCTCACAACTAAGCACAAAATTTGTGCTTGGTAGTGAGGTGGCATAATCCCCTATACTTATTCAAATGGTTGCATATCCTCATGCACTCCTCAACTGATGTGAATGCGGTCCCCCATTTGAATGAGTGGAGGGGATTATGTCACCACACTACCAAACACAAAATTGTGCTCTCACAGTCGTGCCTAGTTGGCTTGTAATGGATAAAGATTACAATGAAAGATATTAAAGAGGCAGGAATTGATTTCCATGGCTGATAGATATAAAAGTGAACATGTTAGATGATTGGAAACATCCACGGCAGGAATGTAATTCATTTGATTATTTAGGATATAAATCATAACCTCAGAGTTGAATGTCAGTAGCATATACTATCATATTCATATCATCAGTCCAAAGAGGAAGAGAAGAAGAATTTGAGGCTTCAAGATCTTAAAGGAAGCAAATAGAATTAAGGACATCCTAACCTCCCCAGTTCCATAATCTGCCTTCTGAAGTTAACGCCATTGTGAAAAATCCACCACAACTGACTGCTGCAACAGGAACAGGTAATGCATTTACTATAGAAGGAGTACCAAGAGAACCCCCTTCACCTGGACCGCCACCACTACCAAGACCCAACCTCCCTTCACCTTCGTCTCTTCCCCATGTATAAAGCTCACCTACAATCGAAAATGATTCACATCAGACATAATTATCAGAAATACATATCAAATGGAAAATAACATTGTCCAATCAGATAATAATGATTCAGAGATAAAACCGAGGTCTTTTCATGAAAATGATGGAAAAAGTCTCAAATAGGCCTTGTGAAATAAACAACCAATTTTGTGGGACACAGAAACAAAATTAGCTTTCAGCCTCATGAACTCATGCTTAATCGCCAAAATCTTCAGAACAAAAACTTTGCTTTTTGAAAAATACTCGCGTTAATACGAACTTCCTAACTCTTTCAGTCTTTCACATGCTCAGATATTACATAATTTCTTAGAAACTAATTCATTACATAAGTAAATGAATACGTGGACTAAGTATTTTTGAAATAATAGCTTTCAGGAAGAACATCAAGAAACAGTTTGTATAATGTGATATGAAGTTGGACGTATAACAACTTACCAGACTTTTCAAATGCTATCACCTGACAACCAATTCATCTACAAAGTACAAACAGCTAAGTACTAAAGTTTTTTATTCTTGGTTGATACAAGACACCTGTATCAGTAATAGCCGCAGTGTGGGCTCCAGCAGTGGCAAGATGGGATATGGTTCCTTCCCAAGGACCATTCACAAGTCTAGGCAAAAGCTCTCTATGATAAACAGAATGCCCAAGCGCTCCAAACCCTCCATAACCCCTGCAAACTTCACATATTTGAGTAAAGAGTCATTCTAGCATTCACTCATAAATGGACAATATTATTAATTGGTGTGATAAACATAAGACTAAGAATTCAGCATAAGCTGCATGGAAATTGCTAAGTAGGTTGGCTTCTAGCACTATATCAAATTTATTTTGAGGGCAAAGGTTTAAGAACAAGTCTAGAGATATACAACTTGGACGATATGCAGCAGGACTTATCATCCACATTACTTTGATATCAATGAGAACTCGTTCTCTGAAGTAATCATAAATTCTGAATGTAGAAAGGTCCCATCAACTCATTTGTTTCAAGGACACATATTCCCTCTTAACTAAGGTTGATATAGGGGTGGTAGAAAATACAGGATTTATGACAAATACGGCCCACTAGGGAGGAGATGAACCCGGAGTTCTTCAAGAAAATATTATGAATTTGATTCTAACACATGTATAGAAATAGGGTCTCAAATTAAATGCGGTATGTCACGGCAAACTAGCCTTGTCAACAAAATGAACCTACTAATCCATCATTGTTAAACATATCAACCCATTACAAAGGGTTAAAAACAAATCACTAATCAAGTACTAACCATTAGAAGGATAACCAATTAGGGGAGTTACATTTTTAATCTAAGCTTTAGTTTCTTATCACATATTTAACGAAACATTAAGGTTATTGACTAAGCACCAATCTGTACAAGCCAACTACGCAACTTCCGCTGCTTGTACGAACACCAATTCAACGATCTCAAAAGAAACAAACAGTTCACTATAAATTTGAACCCAAAATTAGAAAAATTAACAACTATCACAAACATGAACCCCATTAATCCTCCACTACGTTCTAATACCAACACCAACAATGAGTAAGCTTTTGCTCAAACTGACATTTTCATTCTCGGTTAACAGAGTTAAGGGATAGAATATGGCATAGATTAAAGAGGAATAAGTTCCTAAAAATAATCAACAGGGGGCTTACATTTTCAATCTAAGCTACAGGTTTTTTCACAGATTTACCAAAACATTAAAAGTTAGTGGTGATGCCATCCTACAGGAATTTACAAAGGCAAAACTATGCAACTTCTCTTCATTGTACAATCACCAATTCGATAATCTTAAAAGAAACAAACAATTCACTAGAAATTAGAAACACAAATTTAGGAAAGTTGGCAACTTTAACAACCACAAACTCACTAATTCATCACTAACCAAGTAAAGATCTCCCCTTTTCTACTGAGGGCAGTAGAATGAACCCCACCAAGAGCAAGCATCCTCACCGCGTCAAGGTTATCGTTCCTCTCCATCTCGAACCTCGACGTCTCATCCCCAAACCCTAATCTCCCCCCATCCCCCTTCCCCCAAATCCAAACCCTACCGTCGACCACCAGCGCCGAGTGGAACAGCCCGCAGGCCACGCCCCTTCGACCCCTTTGCTGGCTGGCTGGGCCCGCGAGGAGCCGGGTGCGGCGTCGTGAGAACAGAGTGAGTGGGGGGAAAGACGTGAGGAGAGTGGGATAGCAAGCGGGTTTCTTCCTTGCCGCCGCGCGAGTTGGCCGGAGCTGCCGCGGCCCCAGAGATAAGAGCTGGACGGTGGAGGATGGGACTGCGTGCTTGAGATTCGGCCGTGTGGTGTAGATGGACCGTCGGGATTTGGCGGCGTGGAGAGGGAGCAGCGGAGACGGAGGAGAGACATTGGCCTCGCGTCTCGTCGGGGTTTGGAGATTGGGAGGGTTTGAGTGGAGAGATTATTGCACCTTAGACCCCCCACCAAACAATGCGCAATTTTTATCTTGGATACCCTCTTTAACTCATCTTGAACTTGATGCCCACGGAGAATAACCCTCTCATTCGGCCTCGGGGGTGGGGGGGGGGGGGGGGCGGGGGGGGTTCGTTCTTTGTTTTTTTATTGATTGTAATTCAATTTTTTGGGCATATTTTTTCTTTGCAATTTTTTTTGGAGTATCAAAAGTTAAAAATAATGTGAACTTTGGGATATTCAAGTTCATTCAAGAGTTCATCGAATCTTATTCTCGTCTCACTCGGGGATCAAGGGAATCATACTTAGAGGCTGATTGATCGATCGTTCATCTAAAAAATCTCAATAACTACTCAACAATCAAGTTAGTGTTCTTACGGTCAGCGGGGTTTAAAATTTAGACCCTATCGACACACCTCCCTCGACAAATTTTTTATTTTAATAATTTACACCAAAAGAATTTTATTTTAATGATTATATTATACTACAATTTCATTATAAAAGTTAAAAGTAGAAAAAATAAATGGAATAAACCGAGGTTCATGAATGATATAATATGATACAATAGGTATTTTTAGTTTGTTATCACATAGTTTAAGGGTAAAATCATAAAAGCAAAAAACTCTAAAGCTACAGTGTTGCGCCGTTCCTGGCGCAACAGTGTAGCACCTCATCAATTTAACACGAGATTTAGCGATCTGTTGGAAGGGGGGTTTTGTGCTAAAATATGTTTTGACGCTAAATTGCAGCTCCACTGAAGATGACATAAGGGCATCGATTATAGAACAGCAGATAGAAAGAAGGACTAGGACTAGGAATGATGAGAAAATATTGCGCACAGATATAAAATAAAACATTTAACATTCTGTTTTGGCATTAATCTGATGATAGTGTAAGCTGTCTAAAAATCATAACAGATAGCTTATCGCCATCAAACACCGATGATGGAAGTTACAATTTGACGACTTCTAGAAGGTTACAATTTGAAGACTTTCATATAGATCGATGAAGGTTACAAGCTGACGACCTTCACAACAACTGATGAAAGCTCTAATCAATAATCTTCATAATCAACATCGGGAGTTACAATCTGACAACTCTCATATATCAAAGAGCTAAAGCAAAGATTACAAAATGACGATCTTTGCAACGCTCTGACAGAAAGAGACTACAAATCGATGGTCTCTTCAAACCAAGACGTGGAAGTCCTCCCTGCGTACCATCATCAAGACGCAACACCAATTCTCTTCAAACCAAGACGTGGAAGTCCTCCCTGCGTACCATCATCAAGACGCAACACCAATTCGACTGCAGACGCAGGTCAAACCTGGCTGCAAACACAGCTCACATTCAGCTCCAAACGCTGCAAACACAACTCAAATCCAGCTGCTAACGCTACCAACGCAGCTTCCAATACTGCAAACGCAGCTTCCAAATCGCTGCAAACGCAGCTCAAATCCAGCTGCTAACGCTGCCAGCGTAGCTTCCAACACTGCCAACGCATCTTCCAAATCGCTGCAAACGCAGCTCAAATCCAGCTGCTAACGCTGCCAACGCAGCTTCCAATACTGCCAACGCAGCTTTCAAATCGCTGCAAACGCAGCTCAGATCCAGCTGCTAACGCTGCCAACGCGGCTTCCAATTGCTGCGTGCGAGCTTCCAGACGCGACGTTCGAGCTTCCAGACACTGCGTTTTAACGCAGAATCCATGTCAGAACACAGATTTTGCGTTTGACTCGTTCAAACACGAGCTGAACGGTTTCAAAACTGTTTCCCACGATCTGAAGGGATCACAACTCCATTCATGAGTGATTTAAGGGGCGGTTACATCCCATTAGCCCCACTTAGGAACGAATTAAGGGGGCGGTTACACCCCTTAATCCCCTATAAATAACTGAAAAAATCAGTTTAGAGAGGCTGGCTTTTAGATCCTGCTCCTTGGCAGCAAAGAAGAAATCATTGGTTTGTCTAACCAATTACGGTTAAGATCAATCAACTCGTACAGAGTTTCCAACTTGCCACGCAAGTCCTCCACAGCGTCAAATCGTGAGGAGGAGATACTGTTCCAGTGAATCAAGACGTGCGGATCGTCAACAGAGAGCAAACTCAATGCGAGCATTCGAGGGAGGCACTTCATCGCCACCGTGAAGAACCCATAATTAAACAAGGGGGAGAATCAAATTCATTCTCCTCTCTTTTGTAATCAGGAAATCCAATTGTAACTGAGATTAAAGGAATACAGATTAATTTTCCTTCATTTTTTTTTACTTCAAATTTTCCACCAAACAAGTAGCAGTAAGAGTGGTTCCATCATCTAAGTCTATAATCTGATTACCATACAAGGATTGTAACAAACTTCGAAGGCCAATATCCTTCAAGCATGGATTAATAAGAAATCATAAACTAAAAATATGAGGAATAGGCTAAACTACTTATTAAATTTGCTCTCCATTTGAAAAATCATAGGTCCAAAAGTATCATCCATACGATATTTCCTAATGCCTCTCTCTCTCTCTCTCTCTCTCAGCAATTCTTCAACCCAACAACGTAATTAGGACCAAAATTTAGAAAAGTTGGCAACTTTGACAACCACATACTCGTTACTTAATCACTTTAGCATAAAGGGTGTGTAAAGTAGTCACTAGCCAAGTAAAAAACCTCCCCTTTTTCTATTGGGCGCAGTAGATTCTATCTACATCTTTTACTTCGTATATTTCATTCATGTTTTCAAAGATTTTGTTGTGAACTAGATTTGAATACGCAATGATAATAATTAAGTAAGTAAATAAAAAGACAGACTATCGTGCATTGAATAGTAGTAGAAATATGGATTGTCGACCCACAAATAAAACAGCGTCAAAATCATGTCATGTCTAAGATAAATACAAATTTGAAATGGTAAACAAGAGAGAAAAGCTATTTTGAAATGGTAAAAAAAAAAAACTCTCCAAGCAGCGCTAGCTCACTCACAACCACAAACAAGCATGAGTGGAGATTGATTTTGATGGATCAAGAAAGGGAATTAGGTGACAACACCGTTTCCTCCTCTCTGCACGAACACCCTAACCATGTAATTTCCACAAGTACTAGAGCCATGCAACCCTTCCCCTTTAGTTGGAACAAAGCTGGTCTCGCCCGGCACAAGAAGTTATAGGTAGTCTCAAACTCTTGACACACCCATGTCATGTGAAGATTTTTTATTTCCTTTTCTTGTGTTTGGTTCAGAGAGGAAAAAAAAAGAGATGTTGTTCATGTGAGACTCATCCACTAGTAAGACAATAGTACTATGCGTCCCAAATTTAAGGAAACTCATTTTCTCCGAAAAAGTCACGAAATGGGTTTGAAAACATGAAAACGGGTCCCACAACCAATTTTCCATAAGTAATCTCCCAAACTTAGATTTCTAAGAAATGAACCAAACAGCCCCTAAGTCGGAGGAGGCCGAAACCCTAGGCTTCAAGATGAGAAGTGGGAACGCGCGGTTTCCGAGCTAAGGGATATTCTGCGGAGTTAGAGGACAGGGCGCAAATGTAAAAAAAAACGTCTGCTTCCCAAAACATCAAAACACCAAACCAAACTATTCCATTTAGGGGCTGTTTGTTTGCGATTTGGGTAGTGGGAAAGCCTGCCAAAAGTGCAGCTTTTGGCAGACGTTCCATCCAAATCACCTCAAAAAGAGGCGATTTTGGTGGAAAGCCTGCCAAAAGCTATACTTTTGACAGACTTTCTACCTCTTTCCCCCTAAAACACCTCTTTCCAAACAGCCCCTTAGACCCTCTCCCGAAACACCAAACATCAAACCTACTCTTCTATTTATACCCATGCATCCCCCTCCTCTCTCTCACTCACTCAAAACTCCACAGCAGTGGCCATTTTCCCAAAATGGGAAGCCATTTACACCATGCGGTTGCTGTTTGCCGTGGATGGGTTACCAAGGTCCCGCGCCACTTCCGGTGGGCCACCGCTTCTCTCGAAGAGCTTATTTGTGAGAAGAAGCATAACTTGAAGGCGGCCGCGATTGACGACGACGCGGGCGGAGTTGACCCGGAATCAGCCGGCGGCCCGGAGGGCGGGAACGACGTCGTTGCGGGTCCGGATGCTCCCTGCAACAATACCAAGTTCAAACAGCGTGTTTTCGTTTATCTTTATTCCATCCTCTTGTTCAACAGCACCATCATCCTCGACTCCGTATCGTACGTCGATCCGATCCCGAAGCTCGTGCTCGTCGTGGACCTGGCTAGTTTCCTCACCGGAGCTATAATGATCCTGCTGCTGCATTCTATTTCCCCGAAACCGGGCTTCGTCAAATTTGTAGCTTGCTGCATGACGCTGATGATGATAGCAACCGGGCTTTCTATTCTCATCCCGGAGATAGCTCGCCCTCGTACCGGGCGCAATGGGAGACATTAGGCCGGCGGTGGATATTGATCGATGATATGTAGAATGGCCGATTTTTGGGAGCGGGGTGCTGTAAAACCACGGACAAATTCTCAAAAACAACCCGTTTAATTAGAAACTTAATCTCAAAAAAACGACCTATTTAGAAATTATTTACCAAATTCGACCCAGTTTCAGCCAGTTGGCTGAAACTGGGTCGAATTTGGCGAAAAAAATTACAAAAAGTCCCGTGAAGTTTAAGGGCCAGATAATCCAGTTTAAGAGGGGTTTAAACTTCAGGGGACTTGAAGTCTCGTGAAGTTTTGTAGCTTTTTCTACCAAATTCGACCCAGTTTCAGCTAGTTGGCTAAAACTGGATCGAATTTGATAAATATTTTTCAAATAGGTTATTTTTTAGAATAAGTTTCGGAATTGGGCTAAATTAAAAATTTGTCCGTAAAAGTATCCCCCCCTCCTTTTTATTAATATAATTAGGAAATGATGTTATGTAAATATTGTTGTTAGGGTTGTTTGTTGCTTGATGTCATGGTTATTATTAT